CCTGTCCTTCATCTTCCTCTTGCTTCTTATGTATTTGTAGAATGTTTTCTTGTCACCCTTTGTCTCTAGTTAGTTTAATCTTGCCTTCCTAATTTTGTCCTTACATGCTTGTGTTATTTGTTTATATTCATGCTTTGTAATTTGACCTAGTTTCCACTTTTTGTAGGACTCTTTTTTGAGTTTCAGAAAATAGAAGATCTCCTGGTGAAGCCAGGGTGGTCTCTTGCCATACTTCCTATCTGTCCTACACATCTGAGTATCTGAATATCCACAGCGCTTCAATAGTCACAGACTCCTTGTGTCCCCTGCCTTGGGCTGGTTCCCTCCCCTGAGGTTCTCTGGCCTTCTGCAGTGTTGTGACAAGTGGCTTATTATCTGCTCTCTGACCAAGTAATCAATTCCCCATGTTTGGGGATCCCTAAGTTTATTCCAGGAGACACACAGCACGTTTCCCTCCAGTCACTAGGCTTTCCCATGGGGTCTTCATGAACATTTTCCCATCTTTGAGGATGAAATGACCCTCCTGCAAAGAAAGAGGCTGGATGGGACCAGGTGGGATGTTCTCTCTGGGAAATGGTCAATGGAGCTATAACAAGCTCTGATAATCACCCCTTTCCATCCTATGAGCAGGACCCCCGGTCCCCCGAACACCTCACTAGACCTCATTTCCCACATGGACCACGGGGAAGAACCCAGTGCCCTAGACCCTCAAGATTCTTCAGAAAAGGAGACACTGAGCGACTCCCACCCAGGTGAGGAATAAGTCAAACCAAACCCCCAAACTTCCAATGCCCCTGTAAGCTCTCCGACCCCTGCCTCTTCTCAGCTCAGTCAGAAAAATAGCCAGCAGGTGTCATACCCTCATGGCAGATGTCACTCATGGCCTCTCATCCATCCTGACTGGGACCAGCCAGTAGTGACCTCTCCTCCATGTTCAGATGGGCTGAGGAGGCAGAATTGGTCCCTCGGCACCTTCTCCTTCGCTGGCTGGGTATTGAGCTTATCAACTGGTTTGGTTTGGTTTGGTTTACCCGTATTTGCCATTCACCTTTGCAGCACAGGGAATGACTCACGTCTGGATTCAGAAGGGAGCTGATGGGTTCAGAAGGGAGAATGAAGATGACAGACCTCAGCAGGAAAGTCCCGAGCGAATGGAACTGCATGGGATGTTATCAGGAAGCACCAAAGGGGAACTTTCCCAGAATCATGAAAAGGAAAAAGCCAGTGAGAGTCAGTCTTATAAATGCCCCGACTGTGGGAAAAGCTTCCACTGGAGCTCACGCCTTGCCATTCATCGGCGAATCCACACAGGAGAGAAGCCACATAAGTGTGCCGACTGTGGGAAAGGCTTCAATTGGCGGGCACAGCTTATCACACATCGGAGATGCCACACGGGAGAGAAACCCTTTACATGCGAGGACTGCGGGAAAAGCTTCATGCGGAGCTCCAGCCTTACTGAACACAAGAGAATACACACGGGAGAGACACCTTACAAATGCGACTATTGCGGGGAAAGATTTGCCTGGAGCTCAGCCCTCGCTGTACACAGGAGAAGCCACGCGGAAGGGGAACCCTATCGATGTAAAGATTGTGGGAAAAGCTTCTGCATGAGCTCGGATCTTAGTAAACATAGAAGAGTGCACACGGGAGAGAGACCCTATAAATGCCCCGACTGTGGGAAGAGCTTCAGAGTGAGCTCAAACCTCACGGCACATCGGAGGATCCACACCGGAGAGAAACCCTATAAATGCCCTAATTGTGAGCAAAGCTTCCGGCAGAGCTCCACCCTTCTTAAACATCAGAGACTACACTTGCAAGAGAGGCCCTATAAATGCCCTGAGTGCGGGCAAAGCTTCTGTGTCAGCTCAGCCCTGACTGTTCATCGGAGGATCCACACAGGAGAGAGACCTTACAGATGCAAAGGCTGTGGGAAAAGCTTCAGGAACAGCTCATCCCTTATGACCCACCAGAGGATCCACACGGGAGAGAAACCCTATAAATGCCCCGACTGCGGGAGGAGTTTCAGCCAGCGCTCAGCCCTATCTGCACACAGGAGCATCCACACAGGAGAAAGACCCTATAAATGCGACTGTGGGGAAAGCTTCATTGTGAGTGCTGACCTTCTCAAGCATCAGAGAATCCACACGGGAGAGAAACTCTACAATTGCAAAGACTGTGGGAAAAGCTTCTGTCGGAGCACCAACCTTGCTGCCCACAGGAGGATCCACAGGGGAGAGAAACCTTATAAGTGCCCTGACTGTGGGAAAAGCTTCACGGGTAGCTCAACCCTTATTACGCATCAGAGACTGCACACGGGAGAGAGACCCTATAACTGCTCTGATTGTGGGAAAAGGTTCAGTCAGAGCTCAGCCCTTACTAAGCATCGGAGAATCCACACAGGAGAAAGACCCTATAACTGTTCTGACTGCGGGAAAAGCTTCACCAACAGCTCCCATCTTATTAGACATCAGACAACCCACACTGGAGAGAGACCCTATAAATGCCCGGAATGCGGGAAAAGATTCAGGCAGAGCTCGGCCCTTGTGAAACATCGGAGGCTCCACATGGTAAACACTGTAAATGTCGACCTTACAGAGAATGCTCAGACCACCAGTGAAGCCAGGCGGGATGGGAACCCATGACGGACCGTGATTGGAACTCTGCAGCATTAAAAAAAATTGCAGTAAACCTCACTGGAGCATTGTGGCGGAGAGGTCTGTTTGTGCGGGGGAAGCACCGGAGGGGGGATGATGCTGGGTGCTTTGGGAATGGGGCTGCAGGAAGCAGAGGGAGGCTTGAGGCAGGTGAATCAGTTATTTGGGATTTGTGGGGAGAGAGCTGGGAGCCCGGGGGTGGGGGGAGGAGGGTGTTTTTCGTGCAGTCTGTAATTCCCTGAGTTACCCAAACTCATTGCGGCAACATCTGGCAGGAGTGGAGGTGTCGGGCGATATGGGCTTTAGAGTTCTCTCTAGTCTGTATGGGTCAATTCTGTGGCTCACTAGGGCCAGAGATTGGATTTCCCGTCTGCAGGGAGCTGAGATGCTGAGTCAGGGTACCAGGGCTAAGAAGCAAACACAGATCTGGACCTGATCCTTTCAGGTGTGACCAGACCTGTCCCTAGGGGGGAGCCTAAGAGCCCATTCAGCACTACCCATCCATCACACAGTCTCCTGACTCCTGCAATGACCAGAGACCCTCCTCAAGCCCCCCACGCTGCCCCTTATGCCTGGTACTCCCGGCCACCCCCCGCGTATTCAGAACCCTCCTCACATCCCACTCCTCCTTAGTATCCCCCGAATCCCACTCAGCTCTGACAGAGACTCCAGGCCCCTCCCCATGGGACCCCTAGCAATAAGTCATATGTGACAAGGGACAAGGGGGAAACTCTGAATCAGAACCACATGGGCCCTCCAGACCCATCCCAGTGAGCTGGGCGAATAACGGAGAAGGGTGGGGGGCAGAGGAGAATGGTGTGAAGGGCAAGAGTGGGGAAGGCCCCAACACTAAGAGCAGAGGGATAAGGCAAGGCTAAAAATCCATCTGGTCACCCTCTTTCCCCCATCTACTGCAGTGTTCTGTATGGGGACAATAGAAACTCTCCCTGTCCCACTCAACACCCCCCCCCCCCACACACACACAGGATGTCCCCAGGGGAATAAAAGCCTCCACTGGATTGGAAACACTGCTGTAAATTTACCTTATTCTGTGGTTCCCATGAATCTGAACCCCCATGGACTTCCTGTGTTTGCTTTGGTGACCCAACCCCAATGTGACACAGGAGTCTCTCCAGTCTCCTTTGTCTGGAATAAGGAGTAAAAAAATGGCCTTTAAGGGAGTTGGAGACCTCCTGAGAAGTCTCTTTGAGGCTCCATTTCCCCCAGCCGGGGTTGTCATGTTCTGCAGATTCTGCTGACTTCACTTGGTGCTGTAACTGCTCAGCACTTTCTGAAAATCAGGCTGAAAGTGTTTCCAGCTGGGGACCTCCAGTGCCCACTTCTGACAAACTGGCCAAGGGATCTCTCAGAGGGGAGAGAACATTGTCCTTGTCTAAAGGCTAGAATGATGGGCTCCTGCTGCACATCAGAGACCCTACCTGGGAGAGACCTTGCCCCTGATCTGGATGCTGGGAAAGACTCAGTACTTGGGCAGCTCTTACAACTCAGCTGAGACTTCACAGGAGTAGATGGGTTTGTCCCTGGGGGAGCAGTAGCCCTGAGCAGGGCGGGGTCAAGCCAGCTGCCAGAGTCAGGGGAGGCACCAGGGGTGCAACAGTCTTGAGGAAAGGGGACAGAGACACTTGTCTCCCCAGGAAACAGCAGCTTGAGCTTCCTTGAGGAGGGGTTCCTGCAACCCCAGCTCTGCCCTTAGGCAGTTGGTTGGCTGGGGATGGAGGTTGTGGTTAGATGTTCGGCTCTGTGTGTGTGTTGTTCCTGTGTGCTGCCCCAGCTCTGCGCAGACAGCCAGTATAGCAGACCTCGAGCGAACTGCCCAATGACCACAAGATCCGTTAAGGGACAAAGGCACCAGGCCAGGTTTATTGTCGACAAAACACAGTATTAGTATCTCACAGACTCTACCAGACCACTAATACATGTATCATAGAGTATCAGGGTTGGAAGGAACCTCAGGAGGTCATCTAGTCCAACCCCCTGCTCAAAGCAGGACCAATCCCCAGACAGATTTTTACCCCAGTTCCCTAAATGGCCCCCCTCAAGGACTGAACTCACAACGCTGGGTTTAGCAGGCCAATGGTCAAACCACTGAGCTATCCCTCCCCCCAAATAAATAAATGGAGATGTCCTATCTCCTAGAGCTGGAAGGGACCTTGAAAGGTACCTTGAAAGGTCATCGAGTCCAGCCCCCTGCCTTCACTAGTAGGACTAAGTACTGATTTTGCCCCAGATCCCTAAGTGGCTCCCTCAAGGATTGAACTCACAACCCTGGGTTTAAGCAGGCCAAAGCTCAAACCACTGAGCTATCCCTTCCCCCATATGCCTGTAACAATGGACCAGCTCAGTGAACAGCGGGACTTTCCATTCCTCCCTAGCCCAGACAAAGATACTCCCTCTGAAATACATCTTTATACCCCGATACAAACAAGTTAGTACTGCCTCTGACAGTTACTGCCCCCTGACGTGGGGAGTTATTATCCATCACCTTGTACATGTTGGTTCGATCAAAACATCTCTATTATGTACTGTCATCCTGACCTTATCTTTTAGGAGGGGTCAGTGTGTTCTTGTTATCCTTGGGGAATGTTTTTGTACCATCCTTGATATCGGGATATTCTGGTACCACTTGATATTGGGATGTGTTTGCGTAAGCACTCTGTAACTAGCACTTCTTAGGAATGTGTATTTCTGCAATATCAGCCCTGTCCTTGCCAGATTCTGTGAGCAGGTTCTGCCTCATACCAGGCCTCTGTTTCAAGAGCTTATGTCTCAGGTACTCTTCCTACTACATTGCTGAGCTGGGTGAGGTGGGTATGAAAGGGGCATTTACAGGTGAGTTAGGGTGCATGTCCATTTGCACCAGCTGAGGAGAGGCCCATGGTTTGCAGAAACAAATCGGGCTGGTTAAATGCCAGGATATGACGCCATTTGTCTCTTAAAGATTCTTACTATGACTTAGACGCTCTGTCTTAAAGCACCAAGAGAACACAGTTATGATCAAAAGCAATTTATTATGGAAGAAAAAACAGACCAAACCAGCCACTAAATAGTGTGTTTACTTCGGTTATAGTCTCCTCTGGTGTCTCCCTTGGGGAGAATTTCAGCAGAGAATGCACCATCTCTGACAGTGAGACTGGCTTCCTATAGGGGGCACGCTTCTCTAGCAGAGCTGAAACAGGAGACAGCAATTCCCAAATCAGTAGGTGGATCCTGTCCAATTAGCAGAGAGGATCCAGATACTTTATTGCTGGCAAAGGAAAGTTTGTTGAAAGCGAGTCTCACTAAATGTATAACTTCTTCTATTGGCCATCTTTCAGGGCTCTTTGTTCAGAGGTCCCAATGCTGCAAACACCTGAGTGCAAGTCAGTTAAATCAAAGGGACAAGTTACGTAGGTAAAGTTAAGCAGGTACATGTAACCCTTCTGCTAGGTGGAGTCGGCAGCCAGGTTGAATAGCTAGGGGTTCCTCTTCAACAATACAACACAAAACCGGCTCCAGCCCCTGCCCAGTAACCTGGGACAATTACATACCATCCCTGGGCACCTCTAAGAGGCAATACTTCCCCTCTCACAAGCACTGAGTCTGTGTGTAGAAAAGAAACTTTTAATAAAAGGAGGGATGTCCCCGGCATTAATTTGGGAAAACGCTGCAAGCAGGATTCATAAACAAAACCATGAGCCAAACACCCACCCCAAAGTATGCTGGGCTGTGTCCTTTGGCCTCAGGTTCTTAATTCCAGCAACCAAAAGTTCCTTTAACGTGCCCCTCCCTTCTCCCTCCAGGGCACCCCACTCACAGTGGTCGTCCTTGGTCAGGGAAGACCCAGAGTTCAGAGGTGCATCTGCGTGAGCTCACCTCTCACCCTGGCAGGGCGGCCGGCAGAGTGGAGTGGTGGGCGGCTGGTGGAGCAGAGCGAGCACCTAGACAGCAGAATGAGCAAGGTGCCCCCCCCCGACTACCACCTCAACAGCACCAAGAAAGCTGCAACGACATGCTCAGCAGATGTAAAATGACCATTGAATGTGCTATTGGTAGACTGAAGGGGCACTGGCTTTGTTTAATCGCAAAATGGGACCTCTGTGAGAAAAATATCCCAATGGTTAGTTGCCGACTGTATCCTGCATAATTTTTGTGAAGCAAAGGGGGAAAAGTTGCAGCAGGGGTAGAAGTGGAGTGGCCATCTGCAGCATTTGAACAGCCAGACACTAATGCTATTAGAATATCTCAACACAGAGCTATACAGCTCAGGAAGGCTTTGAAAGAGCGCTTTAATCATGAGCCACAGTAATGGGTTGTGGTGCACTGTGCTGTACCTGGCCCTTCTGTTTTGGGGCCAGTTAGGCATTGTGTGGTGCTTGGTTTACATCTATGAATAGAACACTGACAATGCAATTTTGTGATGCTTGCTGTACCTTTATGATACACTGTGTTTGTCGCTGATCTTATGAGTTGTGTCGCAATGTACGACAACATGTAAGTGGGTGCTTTCACTACTGTCAGGCATTGTGCAACATATGTTGGGGACTAATAAAGATGAATTGCTTTCCAAACAATACAGTTTTATTGAGCAATGAAAACACTAACATTTATTTGCAAATTAAAAGTAAATACGTTAAAACCTTAGTACATGTCTAGAACAGAGCTTAAAGAAGGGGAAAGAACATTCATGTCCAGTTTAGCTACACGTACACTGACCTGTTGAGAGCTACGGTTGATGTATGTGATGCTGTGGTTGTCCTTAATGTCCCCCGGAGTGGTAGGGCTACGGATGCAGCCCCTGATGTCATGTGGAATGTTGAGGAGGGGTGTAGGGAGGTGCTATCCCGGAGTTCCCCATGGGCTGCAAAGGGAGGCGAGCCTATGTTTGTTGAAGTTGTAGGTCCACAAGAGTCTGCAGCATCTGTGCTTGCTGCCAGAGAAGCCCAAGTATGTCCTAGTGCATCTCCCTCTGCTTTTCCTGCGCCTTTCTCCTGTCCACTCTTTCCTTCTCCACACAGTCTACAATATTCATCCTACAGGCCCTCTGTTC